GTCCTCCCTGCTCTGCTGAACACATATAAACATTTCATTTTCCACGACTCACTTATGCATAAGCTTTTCCAACCACGGTCAGGCAAGATGATCGCACGCACGCCCCTTCTCTGGCTGCTGGTTCTCTGGATTCAGGGTAAGAAATCAATCAATAAAAACAGTAAAATGTGAAACATCATTGTGACAGAAGATAAGAAATGCTGCCATTCAGACTTATTTAATTAATATTCTAGTGTTGTATTTACTATAAATTCACACTGGAGAATTGAAACTGTGTTTCAGTGTTTGAACACTTGTCATCTCCAGCACTGTCTCATTGTTCATTCCCTTCCCATCTTCTCTCTTTATCCAGACTCCTCTGGGCAAATTGTGATGACTCAGTCCCCGGAATCTCTGGCAGTGCCAGTGGGAGGGAGAGTCTCTATCAACTGCAAAGCCAGTACGAGCATTAGCAATAACTTAAACTGGTACCAACAGAAACCTGGACAAGCTCCCAAACTTCTCATCTACGGCGCTAGCAACCTCCAGTCGGGGGTCCCAGCTCGGTTCAGCGGCAGTGGGTCTGGCACTGATTACACATTCACAATCAGCAGCGTAGAAGCAGAAGATGCTGGAGATTATTACTGTCAGCAAGGTTATAGCTCACCTCGCACAGTGATACAGACCAGTACAAAAACCTCTCTGCAGCACACGTTGCAGTTACTGCTTCCTGCAGATACAACTGTCTAGTTTTCACATGTTCTGTCAAACGCGAAAGAGGGTAACATTTTCCATCTGTGAACATACAGTGAAAAAGAGAACACTGAAAGACCAAAAGTGTTTGAATAATCACATAACTACTAGAATATACACAGAGGCCTGAGGCTCACTACAGTTTTCTCTGCTTTATTCCCAATTTTGAATCCTAGTGCACCAGACACACTTACTTCTTTTTCAATACAAATCATACCAAAGAGCTGTTACATCTTCTATCGCTCAGCCTAGAATGTTTACATCCTATAGCAAACTGACTTAATTCCGCAAAAAGAACAGGAGTACTTGTGGCACCTTAGAGACTAACAAATTTATTAGAGCATAAGCTTTCGTGGACTACAGCCCACTTCTTCGGATGCATATAGAATGGAACATATATTGAGGAGAGATATATACACACATACAGAGAGCATGAACAGGTGGGAGTTGTCTTACCAACTCTGGGAGGCCAGTTAAGTAAGAGAAAAAAAAACTTTTGAAGTGATAATCAAGATAGCCCAGTACAGACAGTTTGATAAGAAGTGTGAGAATACTTACAAGGGGAGATAGATTCAATGTTTGTAATGGCTCAGCCATTCCCAGTCCTTATTTAATCCTGAGTTAATTCCATTACAGAGAGCTGATCAGAAACAGGAATTCTCATATTGGGAGAAATTCCAAATTTGGAGAAGGTGGAGGGGGGCTTGTTGTGAATCAGCATGACAATTTGAAATGTCAACATTTCCTGTGATATGAAAATTTCCAAAAGCAACATTTAATTTTGATTTAAACTTCATCTACTTGACCTTTATGCTATAAATATAAAATACAACATGTCAAAACGATTACAAAACTAAAACACTTGAACCACATTCAAAGGAAAATATTAAAATGAATCACTGTGATCATTTTCCCCTGAACATTTCAACATAATTGATGTCTTCCCAGAGTATGTTTAAATTTTGTCAAATCTACATTTTCTGAAGTAAAGCTGTCCCATCAGAAAAAATTCAACCTGCTCTATTTTTATAAATATATTTCTAAAATGGCCTGGGTATCTCCTTTCACTGGAATAGATCCTCAATAAAATCCCACTGGGAAAGACTCAGTCTTTATTAATCTAGGAAAACTGGACTAATTTAGGAATTTGTAAATGGCTGTGTTAAGATCAGGTGCCTGTTTGCAGAGTATCCAGGTTCTCAAAGGCCTGTGCAGGAACAAATCCCCGAATGCACACGAACCCCGAGACATAAGCAGTTAATAGGCACACACAGGATTTTCAACAGGATTGGGGTGGGGCAGAGGCTGGTTGTGGACGCACCAGAGAAGCACTGTGCCCCAACGGACAGGGTAGGGGGGTGGCCACACCGCTGGGTGCTCACCACCTGTTCCAGAATAGAAAAGGGCGCACACACGCTCAAATTGGGCCTGGCTAGCACAAGCCGGCAGGAGCTGATGGAAGAGGTGTTCAGTCAGCTTCCTGGGGGCTGCTGGGCTGGCCACAGCCACCCAGTACAGGCAGCAGCTGGCAGGGTGGGGTAAACAAGGCTGAAGGGAGAGAGGTCTGGAGGTTCCCCTGCTCTATTCACACAACCCCCTGCGGCTCTCAGGCTTGGGCACCTTCCAGGTGATAGAGGTCAAGGGATTGGGGCACTGATGCAATGGGCAGTGACGGAGCCTGGCACACTGATGCCACTTTTCAACTTTTCAGTGCTGTGCATACACCCAATATCTGAGCATGCTCAGACCTTGGGTGTGCTCTTCCCAGACCTCATTTTCATCCTGCCTGTGTTCACCCTTCAAGCCTTCTAGAAGAGCCGTCCTTCTGGAGGTGCAAAATGCCTACAGCCACTGGTGCTGCTGCAGAGACGCACGGAGCCCCGGTAGTGCTGCTTCCTTAAAAACCTGGCCCTTAAATAAAAGGGAAAAGTGTTATAAAATGAATAAATTCAAACAAGCTCAGCTGATTGGATTTAAACCCCCCACACGATGACTGAATGATTTTAGCTCTTCTTAGTCGTGTTTCAATCTGCAGCCCTCCTGGTTACTCCTCATTAATCAAACAGCTGTTCTTACCCTCCTGCTTGGAAAGTGAACTCTGGCTGCTTTACCATCTGAACCATGCAAATATGTTAGAGTTAATGCAGCCAATGACAGCCTGAGATCATCAATGGGATAGCTCAAAGCTCCTCCCTGGCATTAACATCTGGTCATTTACATAATTGGGATCTTTTTGCATATTCACACATGGCTGATGGTCCCTCACTGAGCTGCTGAACACATAAATGGTTCCATTTCCACTACATGCTTCACTGACAAACATTTACAGCCCCACAGAAGCAAGATGAGCTCAAAGACTCCCCTTCTCTTGCTGCTGCTTTTCTGGATTCAGGGTAAGAAACAGACAATGTTCAAAGAGTTAATAAGGAATGAGACAAACCATCCAAAATGGCAGTGGTTTGTTTGTTGAAATACTAGTTCCTGGGTATTTTCTAGTTCACTTCTACTGTTCAGTTTACAAGCCTTTTAATGTCTCACTTATCCAACCCTGCCAATTTTTATTTCTCTCTCCAGGTTCCAGTGGGCAGATTGTCATGACTCAGACTCCAGAATCTCTCGCAGTGTCTGTGGGAGAGACTGTCACTATCAAATGCAAAGCCAGCACAAGCATTAGCAACAACGTCGCTTGGTACCAACAGAAATCTGGACAGGCTCCCAAGCTTCTTATCTATTACGCCAGCAACCGTCCCACAGGCATCCCAGACCGGTTCAGTGGCAGTGGATCGGGCACTGATTTCACATTCACAATCAGCAGGGTTGAAGCTGATGATGCTGGAGATTATTACTGTCAGAAGCATTACAGTACCCCTCTCACACAGTGATACAGACCAATACAAAAACCTCCCTGCTCTATGAAGTGTGCAGTGTAATAGACACTAGTACACCACGGTCAAGTAGCACCACAGTCAAGTTTTCAGATGTTCTGCCAAAAGACGACTAGAAGGAAAACTTCTCATATCCACTTACATTATCCAAAACTGTAGCACTGTATTGCCATCCTGAGAGCTTAGCTATGCAGGGAAGTTGGTTATAGCAAGAGCTGAGGGTGAAATCTCAGAATGGTATTTCTAATTCGTTCCATCGTTTTTAGAAATCCAACCTTCTTTGTGAATTTTCTGGTTTTATGATGCTTGGAATTTAGGTAATGACAACATCCCTGTAGTGGATTTTATCCTAAATTTCCAATATATACTCTCCGCATTA